TAAGCCCAATTTGGTCTGGGCGCGAGGTGGGCTTAATAGCCGGCGACTACTGTATAGCAACAGGGAGAGTGGAACACTGCTCTGGGTCTGTTTAAGTATCTGAAAGGTCTGACGACGGCACGCAGATATGTTCTTGAACTCCTGTAGATACGAGCAATGTTCAAATAAAACCGAGCTATGAATAATTTCTGAGGCTTTCTCTTCCTAAATCTAAATGAAACGTGCGAAAATAACATTTACTGGGCCTGAAAACGAGAGATCAACTTATCTTATACGAATCGTCTTTCGAGTTGCATCGAAGACTTAAGCGCGAAATTATTTTATGTGGTTACCAAGAAATAGCATTTGCATTGGATTGGATGGAAAACCACTCTTACTTGAGAATGTGCGAGCAGAATGTTTTGTTTTACATTTTTTAAACTAAAATGCATGCCTCCTACGCCTCCCACATTCTGCGGAGAGTTATTCTTACTCGGTTACACCGCCTTCATTTGCAGCTTTAAAAAGGAACTTTTGTCGTTTGACGATTGCCGTTTTAAGTATCTAGGTGAGAAAGCGGCGACTTGACTAGTGCGATGAGCAAATTGCTTGACCGTTTTAAAAGGTCGCTATATAATAATATCAGCTAAGTAAACAACATAGGAAACACCGGCAGCTGGAGAAAGCATTCGTAGGATACGTTTCAAAAGGACCAGATCTTCTTTACGTAAAACTGGAAAAATAACCGAAGAACAGTAAAGAATGAGGGGGAGAATGCAGGCATCTATAGATCGCCAGACTAGGGCTTGCGGTGTGCGATTTGAACCCAAACGGCGGATATATTATAAAAGCTTACGTTTTGAATAAAAAGGCCTGCACTACGAAGACTAACTGTGAGGGTAAATGCTTGAGACGTCGTGGAACTTGAACTGCCATTTTTCAAATCCTTGGCGACGTCCGTGTCTATGCATTATAATATAGAACTTTGATAAACGCTCTATAATGCTCAATTTAAGGTTCATCCTCTGGCGAATGGTATTTGCGCCGAGTGCGGGTCACCTATGAATATCTTTCATGGTTTCGCACTGGTCAAGTTTGCGCCTATGCATTTACAACGGCTACGATAGTGCATATTTTCCACAGTAACATTTGAAGCCCAACTTCAGAATATTCGAACTACTTGAAAGTAACATTTCCTGTCCGTTATTGAAGCGGTGTGGGAAGCTATTCGATGCCCTTAATTGCAAAAGTGGGCTTTTAAGTGTTAAAATTTCATTGTGCGCATGTGAAGACATTAATTTTCCTGAATATGCATACCTCCGCAGACAAGGTAGCAAACTGAAATTATAATCGATAACGTAATTATAATTTCAACTTTTAAGGAATTGTGTGCTTACGCCTGTATGCAGTTAGAGATACTCGATTAATCCAACTTAATTTAAATCCTTCCATACTTTCAGAATTCATGGTGAATAAATTAAAGTTTAGGCATTGCCGGAAAATGTATTTCACCGTAAAAATCAAATGTCTAAACTTGAGAAGACATAAATCATCTTCGTCTTTGGCGAAATTTAATGACTTTTCCATGTTCTGTTCCCCTTATATAAGCTTTTAAGGAAGGGAATTTTGCAATCAGGACAGAAGTACTTTACGCTACCGAAGTTCCTGTTAAACTTCCGTGTACACCAGAAGATTAGCATTGGTGGCTGTTCTCTGGAGTGGATCAACTCATTTTGACAGTGAGGGAAATGAAACCAAATATAAGTATGTCATGATAGGTGAAGCATTGCCCGGAAATCATTCTGGTCTCCTCCCTTTTACAGTTGGCCTTACTCGTTATTCAAATGCTATCTGGAAGCAAAAAAGTTAATGTCTTACTGTCAACTGTTCTCCTTCAGCAATTCTGCGCACATATTCCGCTCAAGTTGATACAATTCTTTTTTTATAACTACTACTACCAACTATGGGCTAGTAATAACAAAGTTTGGGCTCGAGATTCCTATAACAAAACTCAGCATTTTTCAGCTTGCCTAATTAGAGACGACGTGCGAAGGCGTCGATGAGATCTTTCAGATACGCCCAAAGCTAGAAAAAAAAACGTCTTTTCCGGAAATCTACCGTTCAGAGCAATTCTTTTGCAAAAAGCATTCAGTGTTCTTTTCTTCCTTTCGTGAAGAAAAGCATCTGCTTGGGTGAAGAGGTTAAAGGCTCGAATTTTGCCCTTCAAATGCATTTATAATTGAAAGTTTTTTTTTGGCTGACGCCTCTTGAGCGTTTTTACCTTATGGCGCATGAAACCAAATCTAACTTCGCCGGTCCTTATCTTCAGGCGAGTTAGCTATCTTGTGAAGAAACAAGGGTTGGTTGTGAGACCAATTCAGCATAGATCTAGCACATAACAACCTCAGCCTAAGCAGACCGATAGGAGGTTCACATCAAGTACAGTACAGTATCGCCTGGTGTATGTATTCGCATTAATGATGGTTTAGCATAATCTGATCTTAATGTAAGTAAAATAAACTTATATTAGATAATTTCTAACATCTGTTCTAGGCAATTGTCACGTTCTTATGCATGAGAATATAAATATTAATTTCCAACTGTGTTTGAAAAGGTATTAGTTGGTTATTGGCCTCCAGGACTTTGCAGTACTGTTAAATAGAACTAAAGGATCTAATGGACTCCTTTGAAGGATAACTAGATGCATACATTTTTTGGCTAACCGTCTTTGGGATATAAAATTGAGCTAACGCGTCGGCGCGTATTTAAAAAAAACATCTTCGCTCAGTGGAGTAAGACTAAACAGCGATAGTTGCCATCTAGAATCGATTATTGAGGCAAATGTTCGCATCCCGGGCATACTTGTAGATAGAGAAGTAGAAGGCGTGCGATCACCGGAATCATACTTTTACTTGTCTGACCTTTCGGGCTCTTTCTGGAGTCAATCGTCAGAGATGAAGAGCGTAAGAGTAAGACGAGCAACAGTTGTAGGACGCAGAGGCCAATCAGCCGTTATGGAGGGGGTGGA